AGAGATGAGGTCTCGCTGCCCAGGCAGGTCTCGAATCCGCGGGCTCAAGCAATCCACTCACCTCAGCCTCCCAAAGGCGCGGGATTACAGGCTGAGCCACTGAGCCCGGCTGTTAGTTTTTAACTCATCTGTCAGAAGTAAGCTCATAATAGTAGAGTCTGGATTAGGAAGTGGTCTGAAGGAAAGCCTGTCTCTGAGGTCTTAGAGATTTTGACCTCTTTGGAGGAGAAGTCAGATTGGGTGTGTTACACTGATGGCAAAAATGAAATATGCTTAGCAATAGCTCTGCGGTGGCCAAGTTTGGGCAGGAGAGATTAGAGTGACAAGGGGCCTGAGATAGAGTTGGAAGAATCTTTCTGCTTTCCTGAAAGAACTAATCAAGGCTGAATATCAAGAGGAAACTTCCAGCACAGACTTTTAGAGGAGCTCTAAAAAAGGTTCATGGATAAATAGCAGGAAACTGAATCTGTTGATTATGGATTGTGGCTGAAATCTTTAGTCTGAGTTTTTTATTTTTTTAGAGACCTCATCTCTACAACAAAAATAAAAAAATTAGCCAGGCACTGTGGCACGTGCCTCTAGTTCCAGCTACTTGGAAGGCCGAGGCAGAAGTGTCACCTGAGCCCAGCAGGTTGAAGCTGCGGTGGCTGTGAGCATGCCACTGCACAAAAGGTGGAGCAGCTGTGAAAAAAAAGGGCACTCAAATATCTGTAGACAGCCAACTGATGACAAAATTCCCAAATACTCAAAAACCATCAGATTAAAATAAACTATGCATCTTATCAGTGCTTTCAGGTGATCTTACCACGTATTTTCTTACTAAACACAATCTACATGCTCAACAAGAAAAAATATTAAATATTGCACTGGTTTTTGTCAAGTACAACAAAACACATGAAACTTCTAGTAAGATTTAAGATAAAGCTGACCACAACTTCAAAGCTACAATTCCTCGCCACATCCCTACTCAACTATTCCACCTCATTTAGACTGAAACTGACTCTGAACAAATAGTATTCTCTCCTACTCTTCTTTTTTTTTAACCTTGTTATAATGTGTGGGGGGGGATGGCAAAACAAGCAAAACAGAGGGAATAAAATAGGTTCACATCCCACAATAACATGTTACAAAGCAACTCAAGGATTTGCTCACTTTTTGGGCAACACTGGGGAAAGAGAGGAATGACAAAATTGCCCATTTTTAATACTTGATGTTAGGCCTCAGCGACCTCAGAGGGAGAAAGAAAAAAAAGGATATCAAGTAAGCAAGAAATCCGTCCAAGACCCAGGTGGGAGGGAAAGTCTAGGTGCGACCTGCAGGCGGGGGTCGAGGGACTGAGTCCTCAGCGAGAAAAGCTCCTCAGCCCCAGAGTGGTGGCCATGGGTTATTAATAAACTCCACTTCTGTCCAGGTACCGCTCCTGAGGCCAGGCTTAAAATTGGCAAGGCGGGAGTTGGAAGACTCTTCCTGCTTTCCTTAAAGTAGTAGTCAAGATTGAATATCAAGAGGAAACTCACAGCACAGGCTTTTAGAGGAACTCTAAAAAACCTTCATGGATAAATATCAGGAAACTGAATTTGTTGACTATGGATTGTGGCTGGAATCTTTAGCTCAAGTCTTTTTTTTTTTTGAGACCTCATCTCTACAATAAAAATAAAAAAATCAGCCAGGCACTGTGGCATGTACCTGTAGTTCCAGCCACTTGGAAGGCTGAGGCAAAAGGATCGTCTGAGCCCAGCAGGTTGAGGCTGCGATGGTTGTGAGGGAAACTGCTAGCAGAGGGAGGGGCATACCCCATCAACAAGGGTACCTACATAATCAATGTTTGTATACCTGAATTGTACCCTGCATCTTTATAATTTAAAAATTAATAAATAATAATTTTTAAAAAATAAAATAAATAAATATCTCTTATGTACCTAAAAAATAAAAATTGGCAAGGCCAGAGGTGGAGGCTGAACATCGAGAGCCAGAGCCCGGGCCCAAGTAGGCCTGCACCGCTGTGCTGAGTGCTGTGGCCGGGCAGAGAATCTAGCCTGAGTCTTAAACACAGGGCAACTCTTTACCAGAAGGACCTAGAGAATTTTGGCCAGCTTGGTCTAACATCAATTCTGACGTTGGAACCCCCTCCCCCAACACAATCATGTTCAAGGAATGTTCAAGGCAGACAAATGTCTTTCTCGATTCAGTTCTGTGTCTTGTGGTTTGTGGTTAGGAATGTGCTGAATGCAGCTTTAGGTCATGCATTCAACTGCAGTCAGGACTAGCAGGGTAGCAAGAACTGCTGTGTCAGTTTGAGTTCCTTGGAGGTTGAAAGAAACTCAATGGGGCAATGCTTGTTAGGGGAGGTGGGAAGAGAAGAAAGAACAAAAGCAGACAGGGAAAAATATTCAGGCTTTGTAGGTGTGACCTGTGAAAAGCAACCAAGGAAAAAATGAGTACCTAGGAAGAGCCCCAGAATGCAGTATGGCTCTGCAGTGCAGTCTGAGCCAGGCCAAGGGGAGTTACTCAGAAACGTGTGTGTGATGGATCCATTCTGGTGGGTGTTAATGCATCATCCACATAGCTTGGTGCTGCCCACCCCTGCTGTTCAAGGTCTGGGATCCACCAGTGCAGAAAGGGAATGAAGCCGCGGGTAATGCATAAAGTACATAATCCAGCAGCGGATACAAGAAAGTGTATAGAAGGATGTTTGCAACACAGTATACCCAAATACACACAGTGTGCACATACGTTATGGAGTCAAAGAGAGAGTGTTCATATACACATTTCAGTGAGTAAGTAATAACCCTGTGTACATTTGCTTAATAGATTTCTTTCTTGCCAGGTGTGGTGGCTCAAGCCTGTAATCATAGCACTTTGGGAGACCAAGGCGAGAGAATTTCCTGAGCCCAGGAATTCAAGACAAGCCTGGGGAACTTGTTGAGACCTCGTCTCTACAATAAATTAAAAAATTAGCTGGGCGTGGCAGAGTGCTCCTGTAGTTCCAGCTACTTGGAAGGCTGAGGTGGAAGGATCACCTGAGCCCAGCAAGTCAAGGCTGCACTCCAGCCTGGGTGACAGAGTGAGAGTCTAACTCAAAAACAAAATAAAACAGATTTCTTTCTTTCTTTTAGTTGAAATCTTTTTTTTTTAAGTTGGAGTCTCACTCTGTCACCCAGGCTGGAGTGCAGTGACATGCTCATGGCCACTGCAACCTCAGCCTGCTCATCTCAGGTTATCTTTCCATCTCAGCCTTCCACGTAGCTAGAAACACGGGCACACACCACCATGCCCAGCTAATTTTTTTATTTATTGTAGAGACATGGTCTCACCAAGTTGCCCAGGCTGGTCTCAAACCCCTGGGCTCAGGCAATCTTCTCGCCTCTGCCTCCCAAAGTACTGGGACTACAGGAGTGAGTCACCATGACCAGCTAGTTGAAATCTTATTGATAAAATAGAGAATATAGGAAGTAAGAATAAAGGGACAAAATACTGTAGGGTTTTGAGTGACAGTGTTCTCAGTGGCCTCGGCCATGGCCAGTGGCATCATCTTTCATGAGCTGTTGTGACTGAAAAGAGTATAGCAGTGTGTCAGGCATGCTTCTTTTTGCCCAAAATTGAACTAACTGCTCATCAACAGAATGGATTAAACCAAAGGGGACAAATCAAAATAGAAAGTCTGTTTTGCTACTAAAAATGTTAAGGTAGAAAAATGAGTCACAGCATCAAGAGCAAATAAAGATTTATATATATACATGAACCACACAGTTATATATTTACATATATAATATAAATATACAATTATGCAATATTAAAATATGTAAGCATAACTTAAAATACACACGTATACATATGTAAACCTTATATACAGATTCGATAGTTATTATAAGTACTTACATTTGTATTAGTATATTAAATATATCTATCTAGCAGACCTATTATCAACATTCAAAGTGAAAGGAAATACTCCAAACCATTCTGAAATGAAGCCTTCTAACCCATCTCATGTTCCAGACTTGCCTGGTTTGACTCTGAATGCAGTCTGTCTCTGAGTTTGGTCAATACATTTATTTGCCAGTAAGTATAAGCTATCGTTAGCTCTATTGCTCTTGGAAAAACAAAAATATAATATCCCATTTCCAGAAACTTATGACCATCTAGGCTGCACTGTGCCCTAAAGCTCTGGAGAGGCGTGCACCCAGAGGACCATAGGCAAATGCAGGACTTGTAATTAGTGACAGCTTTGGCCCCAAATCGATTCTCTGCTCACCTGCTGCCACACAGCCCAGGCTCCAGGCCCTCCTGCTCAATGGTCCATTCTGCTAGCCTCTTACCCACTCTGGTTTTGAGTGATCTGCCAGGGAGGGGTGCCATTCCATGTGGGAATGGCAGCTGGGGCCACCTTCACAAGCTAAGGGAGGGGAAATTAGAAGGCAGAAAAGAAGAAAAAGACGGCGCTGGCAGTCTTCCCAGTAAGTGAACTTTTGCCTTCATCTGTCTCCACTTGAGGCAGAGGTAATAATACAATGACAAAATTGCAAATCCCAACTCTATCTTGTCCTAGCCAAAGTGCTTTCTTCTTAGAAGAAGAAAAAAAGGAGATTGAAGACCTCCTAGAGAATTCAGTGTCTTGGTTACAGTCAGAATTTACAAGGCATAGGCCCTGAACATAGACCCCCAATCACTTCTGGTCCCATTGAGGCCAAACCCAAGAAGACTGAATCAAGTATCACAGGAAAACAGGACCTCTAACAGTAGCAGAGACGAAGCAAGCAGAATAGAAAGGGCGAAATGCCACCTCCTGTCTCTGAGTCCCTTTATCCCAGGGCCTGAAGCCTGGTGTGTGCCAGAAAGAGAAGTATTAGGTTTTATCATCCTGACCCCTTCCCATCAGCAACTGTGAGCTATAAAGCCCCTCGGCAGGGTTTTCAGAGATGACCCTTTATTCACACTCGGCATCCTGTAACCCCTGTGTAGGATGAAGTCCTTAAAGGCAACTGTTCCATGAAGGTCTGCAAGGAATTCCTGAAAGAAGCATTAGAGAAAACGTTTAGCCATCAGAAGCATGATTTCACATCTATCCTTGTGAAAAGCACTTAGCTCTTTATAAAGAACCTCACTTTAAACCACATCCTTCTCGATTTTGAATACATGTGTAAATAATGTTCATGAGTGGATGAGTATGAAAGGTTTTCAAAGATGCCCAACTCCCCCTCCTCTCCTCCTCACCCTTGTATTTAGGAAAAGCAATACACTTAGCAAGTCAACAGCTGTTGACCTCGGATGTCTGGAATCTAACGTATTTGATTCCATTTATAGATCTTAACTTCAAAGGGCATGGCAATCAAAAAAGATTTGATCTAATCTCAACATCTTCATAACAGTCAGGCATCCTTTTGGCTTTTCTTTACATTTATTTTAATTTAAAAATTGTATGTATATATTTACATAACTGCAATTCAGTGCTTTAAGACCATTTCACCTTCCAAAACAAATCAGTCAAGAGTAGTCAAAATTCATGAGTTCCCAGCAAGACAGTCATGTGGTCATAGTTACTGTCCCTCTCTAGCACATCATGATGTCTGCGTTTGTGAATTGGGGTGCCAGAGCCTAATGGTACCCCTAAAGCACATAAGGTAAATCATTTCTCAGGTATTATAAAGGTGTGATTTATAAAAATCATTGTAGAACAATTTCATTGTTTTGAACATTTCCTGTGCCTAAACCTCCTGATAAACAATCTTTTACCATAGTATTTATATCAACTATATTTTCAAAATTTAACTAACTTTTTCATTAACTGAACATAATTATTTTGGCAAACAACCTTATTAACATTCACCATAAAAATGAAATATGTTCTGTAAAATCCTTTAAATATTTAAGAATTAGTCATTAAGAATATATTTTTTTAAAACAGAATTTCTATAAACTGTAATGCAAATGTTTGTAACTCTTTTTTTAAAATAGAGATGGAGTCTCACTATGTTGCCCAGGTTGGTCTCAAACTCTTGGACTCAAGCTATCTTACTACCTTGGCCTCCAAAGGTGCTAGGACTACAGGATGAGCCACACAGCTTTATTCTTATTTTTATTTTTTATTTTTTGAGTTGAGTCTCACTCTGTCGCCCAGACTGGAGTGCAGTGGCCGCTCCTGACCACCGCAGCCTCGGCCTGCTGGGCTCCGGCGATCCTTCCGCCTCAGCCTTCCGAGTAGCCGGAATTACAGGCATGCACCACCACGCCTGGCTGATTTTTTTTTTATTTATTGTAGAGATGAGTTCTCGCTGCCCAGGAGGGTCTCAAACCCGCGGGCTCAGGCAATTCACTCACCTCAGCCTCCCAAAGGTGTGGGATTACAGGCTGAGCCACCAAGCCCAGCTTATTCTTGTTTTTAAATATTTAATTCATCAAGAAAATTTTGCAACTTTTTAAAGTGCAACTGGAATAGTTTTATGTTATATATTAAATTTACATAAGTTTAGAAAAGCAGCCCAAAACCATACACCACAAAATTCTGCTAAATATTATTTACATTATTTTGAGGTTTATAAGTGTGCAGTGCACATAATGTGTGTCATACTTTATGCCTGAACATAATTACACCCAATAATGGACAAAATAAAAACATCCATCCCTCCTGTCTTAACTTTTCCATTTGAAGGAGGCAACTGACCAGTGATTACTCATGAATGGGCAGGCAAGAATTTATCTGTAATAAGATTAGAGCACAGCCTTATTGTGCATTTTTGTGACTTTGAGATATCACACAGTGCTTAACCTTTGTTCCTTTCCTCTCAGATCCTGTAATTCAGCTATATTACATTTTTTAAAAAGTACTGGCTGCAATGTTGAATTCTTTAACATTCATTCATTGCTGATAGGAAAAAAGCTTCACATTTAGTTTTTTTCCCAAAGGAGAACATGACATCATGTCTACTCTGAGTACTGAGGAGATCCCACCAGGTCACATCACTATCTGAATCAATTGTCCAAGAATGTCAGGTGTGTCATGAGTGGCTATCCCATCTTTAGAGACACTGTGACTACCACAAAGCCAGGAGATTTCTGCTCATTACACATTCCCCATAAGTGATTTGGCTCTCTCGCTGCTAAATTCCATACGTATGTTGTAGAGCTTTTGGGAGTCTCTATATGACTCCAGACTTTCTGGTTTCAGGATGAGGGTGGCAGACACACTGTGATCATCTTCGGCTCAGATGGTCAAGTCTCAACATACATTCACACCTGTTTCTGCAGCTCCTCCTTGAAATTCTCATCTTGAGCTTTACGTGAGACCTTAGGGTCAACCAGTGGGTCATCTGCGCTCTGCTTTTTCCACAACTTGGTGTCCAGATACCATGCTCTATATTTCATCTTCACCCCCTTCGTCTTATCAGGATTCTACAGAAAGTATCATAATTCCCAATGTCATTACCTTTTTTTGATTCGTTGTTTCAATAACTCTAAGACTTAGCTTTTGAAAGCAGTATCATTACTTTGGATTTAGGGTTGGTCCTTGCCAAAGTGTTTTATGAAACTTCAGCATGCTTTGATTTTACAAAGAAAACATGAAAAGCTCATGATTGAGCAAATAATGTAGTGGATAATAACATGGCCTTAGAATTTTGGTAGACCTGGATTCAAGTGTAGCTTTATCCCACTTGCTAGTTGTGAGTCCAAGGGCAAGTTACTTAAATTCTTCATCTGTAAAATGGACATAACAACAGTATCCACTCCCGTAGGATTGTTGTGAAGATTAAAAAAAAGAATTGCATAAAAGCAACTAGAAATCATGTAAAAATCATGTATTTCTTCCCAGGGTAATGGCCTTGTACAATACTCTGTCAACCAAAATAATGTTATTAGACTTACTATGAGCCCAGCACTATGCTCTGCACAGTAAAGGCTACAGTATTTTTTATTAAAATGCTATCTAACACCTTTTGCCTCTTTTGGTTAGAAGGGAGTAAGAAGGGGAAGAATAGATCTCATTCCTTTCCTTCCCCGTTCCTCAGTGGGACATCCAGGAGGCAGGAGAACCTCTTGGTGGCTCATAGCCTGATAGTGTGACTGCATCGCCCATGCACTGTCTCATCACAGACACAGGTCCAGGTCTTGGTTGGGGGAAAGAAGCATGAAACCACAAAGATCCTGCCCCTCTCTCCTCCCACAAACATACATTCAAGTAGGTAGTGGAACATGTGGAGTACTCTAGATTTGAGCCAGAAATGTGAGTGCATTACCTGAGCCCGCGGGTTCGAGACCTGCCTGGGCATCGACACCTCAGCTCTACAATAAAATCAAAAAAATCAGCCGGGTGTGGTAGTGCATGCCTGTAATTCCATCTACTCGGAAGGCTGAGGCGGAAGGATCGCCGGAGCCCAGCAGGCGAGGCTGCAGTGGCTGGGAGCCGCCACTGCAATCCAGTCTGGGCGACCGAGTGAGACTCCAACTCAAAAATAAATAAATAAATAAATAAATAAATAAATAAATAAATAAATAAAAACAGAATGGAACAGAGTGGGCGCTGCGGAAGAGCTGAAGTCAGCATCTAGACCCCCCATTCCAAGCACGCTGACCCCCTCGCTGCTTCCAGATAGCACCCATTACACTTCTACCTTGGTGCCTTTGTACTCGTTCCCTCTGCTGTCAGGCCTTTCCTCAAAAGACCCACACGGCTCACTCCTTTACCTATTTCATGTCACCTTTTCAGTGGTATCTTTAACTTTCATTCATTGCTGATAGAGACACTGTGACCATCCAATGTAAAAATGCAACCCCCCTCACAACATTCCTTGGCTTCCTTCCTCATCTCATTTTTTTTAGCGACCCTTATCACCATTTGACATGCTATATATTTTTCAGTTGTTTTTCTGTCTCTCTCTTCTCACTCTCTAAAATGTAAACTTCAGAGATTATTCCTGAATGCATCTCCTGGCATCTAAAATAATACTAAGGACACAACAGGTGCTTAATAAATGTGTTTAATTAAACACAAGTTTCTTAACTTTGTTATGACTGACATTTGGTACTAGATAATTATTTATATGTGGGGGTGAGGAGGGTGGCTATCAGACACATTGTAGGATGTCTGGCAGCATCCCTGGCCTCTACTGACTTTATGCCATGACACTTCCTAAGTGGTGACAACAACCAATGTCATCTCTAAACATTGACAAATTCCCTGGGTGGAGGAAAGGTGACAAAATTGCTCTCAAGTGAGAACTACTGAATGGAAGGGAGGGAGGGAGGGAGGGAGGAGATGAGGGGGAGGGAGAGAAATGGAGTCTATGCTACCGTGGCACTGAAGAGTCTGAGTTTTGGAATCCATTATGTTGTTGGGCAACTGGAGATCTTTCAAGGCTCAGGAAAAACATAATTTCTTCTGTGATGGCTTTGCTGAACCTGTCCTCACCTCATGCTTGTGGAACTGATTACTTCTTCCCATGTCCCGGTCACACTACAACATCATTTTGCTGTAGTTCATCATTTACCTGTTGACCACACTAGACCATAAGCTCCTTAAGTGCAGGAGGCAGTCCTCCATTTTTGTTTGATTTGTTCCCAGCACTTTTGGACACATAGTAGCAGATGCTCAGAAATCCACCACTTTTTAGAAAATCCATAAACAGTTGGATGAATTAATGTACTGAGCCAAGATAAACACTTAAAACAGAGGCACAGATTGCTGTGAGAGATTAAAAGTAAGAACAAATTAATGTCAGCTAAGGAACCTGGAAAAACCCTATGAAGAAACTGGCACATGCAATATGTCTAAAGGAAGACAGAATATGTGGACATAGGGAGGAGGGCCACTCAGGAGAACATTGTAAGCAGCACCAAGGAGGAGGGGAAGCTTGGAGTCTTATGGACACCCAAGACCACCTGAAAGTGTTCAAAGTTTTAAAAAATAGAGATGAAAACTTCTCCTTTCAGAAGACATCTACCACATCTACCCTCCCACCTGCAACATCCAAAATGCAGGGGGGGAAATGCATGAACCGATAGTTTGCAAGACCCTGGACATTAGGTAATGAAAGACAGTGATCCTTGAGAGACAAGCAGCAAGCAAGAGAAGCTGCCAGTTGTCCTATACCACTGCCTTGAGAGTTCCAGTCATGCAGAGGACATAGGAGTCCAGGAGGAACCAGTGGACTCTATGCATTGCAAAGAGAGAACTGAGCATCTGGGTAGACCCAGAAAGCCAAAGCTAGCAGCACAGAGTAATAAAAAGAAAGTGATGCTTGGGGAAAGAATGCCAGAGGACTATACAGGGTCCCCTTCTGTGCATGCACGCAGAGAAATGACCTGATGTTAGGGAATAAACTAACTCAAAGGGTTAGAGGAGAAAGTGCCCAGCATGTCCACAGGGCCAGGAACAGTGCCTTCTTCCTTCTGGAAAGCCGAAGGAACCATAGGACATTGGGTAGAACACACAGAAGGGTCCTCCCTCAATAGTGGGGAATAATTAGCCCTACACAGAACATCGCTTTGCTCTTTCCCCAGAAAAATCTTAAAAGCAAGACCCAAAAGAATTACACTTTTCCAAGGCACTTGACTGCATTCCAGGACAAAGTTCAAGAGTATTTATAGGAATACAAAAATATTCAACACCCAGTAAGTAAAATTACAATGCCCATCCTTCATCAGAGATCACCAGGCATGCAGAGATGCAGGAAAACATGACCCGTAACCAGGAGGTGAATCAGCTCTTACAGATGGATACCAGTGTCAGAATTAGCAGACAAAGACAACCACATGGCTATTATAACTATTCCATATGTTCAAAAGATTAAGTAGAGAATGGCAGGTATGCGAAGGGGGACCCAAAAAACCCAGAATTTATTTATAAATGTATAAATGCACTTATTTTTTAAAATTGTGTGTTTATTCTTACTGTTTGAACTTTGGTCATCTTCAAAGTACGCTCTGTTTGATGTAATATACCTATCAAGATGCTTTTTCCACAGCTGGATACCTTTTAGTGTTTTTACCATTTTTTTGTTTCACCTCTTCCACACTGGCAAAACAATTCCCTTTGAAGACTTTGTTTATCCAGGGAAACAAAAAATGTAGGTCAAGGAGAGATCAAGTGAATGGGGAGGGTGGGGCACTGGGATCATGCCATTTTTTGCTCAAAAACTGCTGAACACACAGCACAGTGAGGGCAGGTGCATTGTCATAGTGGAAGAACCAGTCACCTGTATGCCACAACTTCGGACATTTCTTCCACAAATCATGACACAACCTTCTCAAAACTTCCAAACAAATACTTTGACCATTTGATCAGGTCAAATTTGATTGTACTACAAGGGACTACCTTTCAAAAGATAATTCCAGGTTTTATTGGATCCCTCTCCCGTGTTTGTGTGTGTGTGTGTGTGTGTGTGTGTGTGTATACACACCAAAGTCAAGTTTCCAGAGATGAAAATTATACTATATGAGATAAAATAACTGAATGAGATTAACAGCAGATTAGACAGCATAGAAAAAATATTAGTGAACTTAAATACATGTCCAGCCTGGTATTTGTACAAGAACAAGCACATAGACCAATGGAAGAGGATAGAGATTCCAGAAGTTAGCCTCAATTCCTCAACCAACTCATCTTTGACAAAGCCTCCAACAACAACTACTGGGGAGAAGAAAACCTATTCAGTAAATGTTGCTGGGAAAACTGACTGACCACATACAGAAGATTGAAACAGGACCCCTACCTATCACCATACACAAAAATTAACTCTAAATGAATCAAAGACCTAAACATAAAACCTCAAACTATAAAAATATTAGAAAACGCAGGAGACATCCTTATGGAAATTTGAACTGGGAACCAATTCCTACTCAGAATCCTAAAGGCCAATACCTTAAGAAATAAGGGAGATAAGTGGAAGCTCATCAAATTAATGAGCTTCTGCAAAGCAAAAGAAACCATCAAGAGAGCAGGGAGAGAGTCCACAGAATGGGAAAAAATGTTTGCCAACTGTATATCTGCCAAAGCCCTAACAGCTAGGATCTACAAGGAACTCAAATGCACCAAAGGGAAAAAGACAAACAGCTCCTTTAATAAGTGGGCAAAAGACATGAACAGACACTTCTCAAAAGAAGATATACAGGCAGCTAACAGACACATGAAAAAGTGCTCAGCCTCACTCATCATCAGAGAAATGCAAATCAAAACCACATTGAGATACCATCTAACCTGTGTAAGAATGGCCATCATTAATAAAACAAACAACAACAGATGCTGGCAATGATGTGGAGAAAAAGGAATGCTTCTACACTGCTGGTGGGAATGCAAACTTGTACAACCTCTCTGGAAAACAGTCTGGAGGTTTCTGAAAGAACTAGAAATTTACCTTCCATATGACCCAGCAATTCCCCTATTGGGAATATACCCGAAGGAACGCAAACTATTCTACAAAGAGGATACCTGTACACATACATTTGTTGCAGCTCTATTCACAATAGCATAAACATGAAAACAACCATGTTGCCCATCGAAGCTGGACTGGATACAAAAATATGGTACATATACACAATGGAATATTATGCAGCCATAAAGAATGACAAATATATGGACTTTGCAGCAACCTGGATGGACTTGGAGTGGATCATACTCAGTGATTTATCACAGAAACAAAGAACAGAGTTCCATATGTTCTCACTCATAAAAGGACCTTGAACAATTATACTGCTACAAGAAAGCAATTGGAAGTAATGGGAAACTATTGGTTGGGGGGAGGTGGGATTGGCAGTTGAGGGAAACTGCTAGGAGAGGGAGGGGCATATCTCATCAACAGGGGTACCTGCATGATCAATGTTTGTATACCTAACCCAGAACTGTACCCCACAGCTTTACAATAGAAATTTTAAAAATAATAATAAATAAATAAATACATGGTCATATAAATAAAGAAAGAAAAGAGAATTTAAAAACTTAACCGTGATGCAGTGAGCGGCGAGGCACTTCAAGCAACTGAACTGCATGTAATTAGAGCCTTGAGAAGGTGTTGAAAGGCAAAAACAAATTTCTAAAGTAATTATCAAATATTTTCCAAATATCTGCTGGTGTGATGGTTCACTTCTATAATCCCAGCACTTGGAGGCTTAGGCGGGAGAATAACTTCATCCTGGGAGTTAAACACCAGCCTGAGCAACATACCTTCATTTAATAAGGGCAGAACAAGTGTATTGTAAGACATACAAAAGCTGAAAGAATTTTTCACCAGCAGATCCACACTGGAAGAGATGTTAAAAGACATGCTCCAGGCAGAAGAAAAATGGTATTATTTGGAAATATATTTTGAAATTTTGTGTAGTTACTTTCCATGTGCCAGTCAAAGTTCATTTTTGGCAAAAACCACCATGGTTTTATAAAACAGTGTTTGCATTAGATTAGTTCTAAACACAGGGAAATGAGCAATTGGATTCAGCCTAGATTCAGGACAAGCAGTGGTTCAAGCCTTAGGTGTGAGGAATATGATTTGCCAATCCAGCATTATTTTGAGTTTTACCTTTCAGAAAGATGAAAGGATAATGGAAACATTAAAGCTGATATTAGTGTTGAAATGCATAGCTTCATAAATATTACACAACAGAGTCAAGGATAGAAATGTAATGCATGTCAAAATAGATTGGTCAATTGTGTTCAATTGTACAGGATAAAATTAATATGTCCAAAGTACTGAAATATAGTAGCAATGATTATGCCTAAAAGGCAGAGGGAAAATTAGAAATAACATATTGTGTTTTACCTTCAGGGAAAGGAATTCCCCACCCCGCAACTTAGCTACTTAAGTCTGTTGCTGACTTATACAACTTAACATGTGTGCATAATACAAGGGGTGCCAAAAAAGTGTAAGCACATTTTAAGAGATATCATCTATATATTACTTTTAATTCACCACAATCAGAAGTGTCTGGACACAGATGGTAACCACTTTGAGCACCTCTTCCAAATGTAGGAGTCAAATGTGACTTGTATCCATTCTTTGTTATTGGTATATATAATTACAATTTTAATACAGATTTTTCTTTTCTTAAAATATGTAGCTGAGAGCGGTGGCTCATGCCTGTAACCCCAGCACTTTGGGAGGCTGAGGTGGGAGGATTGCTTGACCCCACAAGTTTGAGGCCAGCCTGGACAACACAGCTGGTAGAGGTAAAGATGGGTACATTAAGAGAAGCTAATCTGTAGGTTGAGCATTGACCTATGATTTGACTCGTCTCTACAACAAAAATTTTAAATATTAGCTGAGAATGGGTCTCACACCTGTAGTCTCAGTTACTCAGGAGGCTAAAGCAGAAGGATTGCCTGAGCCCAGGAGGCTGAAGTTGCAGTGAGGTGTGATCATCTACTCCAGCCTGGGCAACACAGATTCCAATTCCAAACATGGACACACACGCACACATAAGAAACCTGTCCCAGAAAATGACTATTAAAATATTAACAAGCCGGGTTCGGTGGCTCAGCCTGTAATCCCACGCCTTTGGGAGGCTGAGGTGAGTGGATTGCCTGAGCCTGCAGGTTCGAGACCTGCC